ACACACACACACACACACACACACACACTGTGAACTGTTTAAGATCTTTATGTATTTATTTGTACTTTGGCTTGTCCCTAAAATACTTAAAGTAGCCCAGAATAGACCATCTCTCCTGCGTAAAGGACCTCCCCTTTCCCACCCAAAGCCCCAAAGCTTCTGAGAAGATCAAGAAGGATCCCAGGAGGCCACAACAGGATATATATATATACACTCACACACACCAAAAATGAAAGAAATGGAACATGTATATTCTAGCTACTTCTCATCTGAGGGATTTCCATTCTTGTGACATGACAAGGTCCTAGCCATGTCCCAGAGTAAGAAAGATACATCCTCCGAGAGGAGTCTGCTAGGTGTGGAGGAACTGTGATCTCCCCTTCCCGATACCCTTGTTTTTCTACTTTGTCACTCTTTTGTATAGAAACCCTCTGTGCTATTACATAGTACCTCTGCATTCAATTTCAAATCTAAATGAAATATGAGCACGTTTATATGTGAGTAATAGGGTCCACCATGGAAAAAGGGCAGTCTACAATGAAAGTGTTGGAGAAGGCGGTCCTCTTCTTTGAAGTAGCCACAAAGTCAATGAGCTTCTGACTCCAGGGCCTCAGTTTATTTAATAAGCTCACATCATCTCAAGACATCAACAGGCAAGGCACATGCAGTGATATTTAGGTCTCTACTTCAAAAACATTAAATGAACACAGTGTGCTCCAGTAGGAGAGAACAGCAAATGGTCATGTTATATTCTGCAAGGCGGCTCAAGTGTGTGGTGTGTGGTGAGGTCTCATGCTTTATTTACTAGTTCTAGTAGGTTAGCAAATTAATCAAACATATTCTGTGTTACCTTACTCTCATGTTAAAAATCAAACTATTTGACATATAAAAAATAGATCAAAATTGTGTTTTTCCCCCTGAATTAAACAGTCTTCTAAGAGTTCACATTTTGGATTTTTGTTATGGTGGATTCACAATAACATGAGCCATTAGGAGGCTCACATGTGGTTATAAACTAGTTTATGTAAGTGATATTTTTTT